CGCCAGTCATCATGAGTCTCTTCTGTTGGAACTGCCGAGGGCTTGGGAACCCTCGTGCAGTTCGATGCCTCATCGAATTGGTGGGGTTAAAGCAACCTGCAGTAGTGTTCTTATGTGAGACTCTACTGGATAAAAGGGGTATGGAGAAAGTTCGACGAAGACTGGGTTTCACTCACTGTTTTGTCGTGGACAAAGTAGGGCGCAGTGGTGGTTTAGCTGTGCTTTGGAAACTTGATACCAAATTATCACTACTCTCTTTCTCTCAGAATCACGTTGATATGGAGGTGGAAGGCATGGGAGTTGGCACTTGGCGTTTCACAGGTTATTATGGCCACCCTGAGAGACATAATCGGAGGCGTTCATGGCAACTGCTAAGAGAATTAGCCATTAAATCTGATCTACCATGGTTGATCGGGGGAGATTTCAATGATCTTTTACACTCAGATGAGAAGATAGGTGGTAACCCCCAGCCGGAGTGGATGCTACAGGGATTTCGGGAGGTGGTCGATGTATGTAACTTAGCTGAAATACAAATGGTTGGTGGCCACTTCACTTGGCGTCGAGGACGTGTTGAAGAGAAGTTAGACAGATCCCTGGCCACGCCCACCTGGCGAGCTTTATTTCCCCGTGCAAAAGTCAGACTATTGCCCCCTCTATCTTCTGATCACTCCCCTCTATGGATTACTCTTGATAGTCACTATAAGAGAAGGAATCGAGGCAGAAAGAGGTTCCGGTTTGAAGATATGTGGCTTCGAGATCCTGGGTGTACTGAAATAGTAAAATCTAGTTGGAGCTCTATTGTACGTGAAGGGAACTGGAACTGTCTACTGCAAAAAATCAATGTCTGCTCCACAAATCTCCAAGGTTGGAACACTTCTCATTTTGGTCATGTGCAAACACGACTTAAGCAATGCATAGAGAGCCTCGAATCTTTGAGAAACAAATCCCCCTCAATCACAGCTCAAGATGAAGAGAAAAAGGTGCTTGCAGAAATGGAGGAATGGCTAGAAAGGGAGGAGCTTATGTGGCGACAGCGCTCAAGAGAAATATGGTTGCAGGAGGGGGACCGGAACACGCGATTCTTTCACAGGAGGGCATCTAAAAGACGAGATAGAAATAAGGTAGAGAAATTGATGAATGCAGAAGGTGAATGGAAGTATGAATTTGCAGAGTTGCAGAGCATAGCCACAAGCTATTTCTCTTCCCTATTTTCATCTATCTCCCCTAATAATATTGAACAAGTGACCTCCTGTTTAAGCCCTCGGGTCTCTGACGCTGATAATGCTTTCCTGCTCCAAATGTTCACGGAAACAGAGATCAAGAAGGCCTTGCATCAAATGCATCCTTCAAAGGCCCCCGGACCGGATGGGCTTTCACCGGGTTTTTTCCAACGTTTTTGGGATGTGGTGAAGAACGATGTTGTACAGCCATGTCTAGAGTTCTTAAACCATGGAGGTGTGCTTCCGTCCGAGCTGAATTTCACCCATATTGTGCTCATCCCAAAGTGTAATGAACCCAGAACTATGGCTGACTTGCGGCCAATTAGCCTTTGTAATGTCATTTACAGGATTATAGCAAAGGTCATAGCCAACAGATTTAAGATGGTATTGCAGAGAGTAATTTCCCAAGAACAAAGTGCTTTCTTGCCAAATCGGTTGATTACTGATAATTTTATGATTGCTTATGAAATCCTCCAGTATATGAGAACTAGGAAGGCAAGGAAGCGGGGTTGGCAAGCTGTTAAGTTGGATATGAGCAAGGCTTTTGATCGGATCGAATGGCCATACTTAGAGCAAGTTATGCGAGCTGTTGGTTTTGCTGAAGGTTGGATAAGGATAATCATGAGCTGTGTCTCCTCAGTCAGATATGAGGTTCTGTTCAATGGTAGAGAAGCAGGGTAGATCACTCCTACTCGGGGCTTGAGGCAAGGCGATCCACTATCGCCTTACTTATTTATTTTATGTGCAGAAGGCCTCACCGCCATGCTAACTGAAGCTGTAAGTAGGAAAAGTTTGCATAGCATCCAGATATGTCGGCATGCGCCTAAAATTTCCCACTTGTTCTTTGCTGATGATAGCTTCCTCTTCTTGCGTGCTACTGAGACTGAGGCAGCTAATTTAACGACTATTCTACGGAGTTATGAGTCTGCTTCTGGCCAAGTGATCAATCTGCAAAAATCCTCCATTACTTTTAGCAGCAACGTACAACAAAGGGCGCGTAGTCGTATCTCTCAAATCTTGGGCATGACAGAGGTTGAGCAACCAGGTAGATATCTCGGTTTCCCTACTTATATTGGTAGATCGAGAACAACTGTTTTTGCAGGCCTAAAGAGCAAGTTTTGGGCACGGATAAGTGAGTGGAAAGAACAGCCGCTATCTAGAGCAGGGCGTGAAATTCTCATAAAATCAGTGTTACAGTCTCTCCCAACTTATGTGATGAATCTGTTTCTTCTGCCTGTAACTTTATGCACAGAGCTGGAGCATATCTTGAATAGATACTGGTGGGGAGGAGGGGAGGATGAACATAAGATCCATTGGATGCAATGGAGGAAGCTCGCGACCTCGAAGAAAGCAGGAGGATTAGGCTTCCGAGCTATGCGTGAATTCAACCTGTCTATGCTCGGGAAGCAGGGCTGGAGGTTGTTGACATGTCCTGATTCCTTGGCAACGAGGTTCATGAAGGCCAAATATTTCCCTCGTACGGATTTTTTACATGCAGAACTCAAATCTCCTTGTAGTGTTACGTGGAGGAGCATCTGGTATTCCTCTAACTTACTAAAGCAAGGCTGTAGGCGATTGATTGGTGATGGTCGCAGTACTGAGATTTGGAATGACCCATGGCTTCCGGGTAATGAGCAATTCTATGTCCAGTCGCCACGGCCTGAAGGTTGTACCCTTCGTTATGTAAGTGAGCTAATTGATGAAGAGACAAACTCATGGAGGAGGGATTTGGTTCTCGAGACCTTCAATGCACATGAAGCCCAACTGATATTAGCGATGCCGTTGAGTTGGTTGCGACGGGAGGATAACTGGTTGTGGCATTTCACCAAACATGGCAGTTATACAGTACGATCTGGGTACCATAGAGCTATTAATATGGCTAGAAATCATGCTGGTCCATCTTCATCCTCCACAATCTTTGGCGGCAACCGATTGTGGTCCTTAGACATTCCGGAAAAGGTGCGATTGTTTATCTGGAGTGCCTACAAAAATGTTCTTCCCACAAAGGACAATCTTCACAAGAAGAGGGTAGAGGTGGATTTAGAGTGTCCAATGTGTGGTGTGGAGAAAGAATCTGTCTTTCACTCCCTTTTGTCATGCTCCCTTGCTCGGGCAGTGTGGTTAGGATGCCCTTTGAACCTTCACGTCTCTGAACTCCAGGTGAATGACTTTGCAAATTTTTTTGATAACACAGCCTGCATTTTGGAGAAAGAGCAACTTGAACTCTTCTGCTTGTTGTGTTGGAATTTATGGAATGGCCGGAATGATGCTCTATGGAACAGAAATGGCATTAATCCACAGCAAATCATCCAACGAACCTTGTCCTTTATGGCAGAATACAGGCAATCTGTATTATCAAGAGGCAGAGGAGCTGCAGTAGTGCAGAAGGCCACTGAAACTAGATGGCACCCACCAGACTTGGGCTTTATAAAGGTAAACGTAGATGGAGCAACATCTGTCCAAAGCGCGGCCTTTGGTATGGGTGCACTGGCACGGAATGATTCAGGGAAGGTGCTGGCGGCTATGGCGTGCAAAGGACAGGGAGCAGTGGAACCTGAAGTCGCTGAAGCCTGCAGTTTACGGAGAGCTCTCCACTGGGCTCAATCCCTTGCATTTGGAAGAATTATAGTAGAATCTGATTGCGCAACCATTGTGTCAGCAATCACAAGTGAAACTTTCAACATGAACTCCAGCTTAGGCCTCATTCTTCTTGATTGCAAAGCACTGATAGCCTCTTTCGAGTCGTGCCGGTTACATCATGTCCGCCGAACTGCTAATGCTGCTGCTCACGAGCTTGCACGAAGAGCACTTACTGCTGAGGCTGATGAGTTTTGGGTGGATGACGTACCGTTTCCCATTGAGCATATTGTAACAGGAGATCAATCCCTTATCTGAATATGTACTTCCTGTTCTTACAATCTTAATAAAGCTCGCATATGGCTTTCCAATCAAAAAAAAAAAAAAAATTAATTTAAATCTTTCCCTTCCTTCCCTTCCTTTTACCTTAATTATCCAAACATAAAATAATACAATCATTCCCTTCCCTTCCCCTTCCT